TTGTTTATTAAGCTACTGCACATTTACCCTACGCGGGTTCAAAGTCAATAGTGGTTCCTTATTCTTAACGTTAACGCTTCCTAAACTCTTTATCAGAGTAAATTGTCAGAGATGGATGACTTTCTTGCGCAGCATTCAGAGCAGCATCACCATCAGCACTAATCTCATTCCTATACAAATACAACTTTGTCAGAGTTTTATTATATTTCATACACTCAGCTAGAGAAGCAGCGCCAGAGTAACCAATGCTAACGTCAGACAAAACCAACTTTGTCACAGATGTATTCTCTTTCAAACACTCAGCCAGAGCAGCGGCACCAGCATCACCAATTCTATTTTAAGACAAATCCAACTTTCTTAAGGATGTATTTTCTTTCAAACACTCAGCTAGAGCAGCAGCCCCAGAGCAACAAATGTTACTCTTCCACAAAGACAACGTATTCAGAGATGCATCACTTTTCAAACACTCAGCCAGAGCAACGGCACCAGGATCACCGATTTTATTTTGAGACGATTCCAACTTTCCCAAGGATGAATTTTCTTTCAAACACTCAGCCACAGCAGCAGTACCAGGTTCACCAACGTTATTTTCCCTCAAACACAACTCTGTCAGAAATTTATTTTCTTTCAAACACTAATCCAGAGCAGCAGCACCAGTGCAACCAATGTTATTTTTCCACAAATACAACGTTTTCAGAGATGTATTTTTTTCAAACACTGAGCAAGAGTAGCAGCACCAGCATTACCAATATGTTTCCAATGCAAATACAACTTTGTCAGACATGAGTTTTCTTTCAAAACCTCAGCCAGAGCAGCAGCACTAGCATCCTCAATTTTATTTTCAGGCAGACGCAGCTCTTTCAGAGATGTATTTTCTATCAAGCAATCAGCCAGAGCAACAGCACAAGAGAAACCAATGTTATTACCACTCACATCCAACATTGTCAGAGATGTATTTCCTTTCAAAATCTCAGCCAGAGCAGCAGCACCAGCATCACCAATGCGATTAGCAGCCAAATTCAAATGTGTCACAGATGTATTATCCTTCAAACGCTCAGCCAGAGCAGTCCCACCATTGACAACACCTGTCAAATCCAACCTTGTCACAGTTGAATTGGTTTTAAGGACGTTGGCCAAAACGACAACTAGTGCTTCATCTATTTCCTTCGCATCATAATAGTCAACAGCTCCAATTCGCAGACAAGCACCAAGGGTGCGAGCCAACTTTATACTAAAATCGTTGTTGTTATTTTTGGTCTCATTAATGCACTCTAATATAAACACCAAACTACCAGGTGCGTCTTTTTCTTCCTCCTGGGTCAACTTTGTTGCCATACTTTTGACAAGGTTCTCTGCAGTTTCCTTGCAACATGCCGCTAGAATGCCAAATGTAGACAGAAGCACTTCTCTCAGCTAATAGCGATATCGTCTGTTAGCAGCTATACTGTCCGTACTTATTTCTTTCTTGATAAGCTGAAAACTGAGATAAAATACTGCGAAGAATTCTTGGAAAGTCTTGTGAAGAAAGCCATAACGTCTAGTCGGTCTTCGTTTACTACCTCCGGGCTGAACCGAAAGAAATCCAAATTTAGGTAAATCACTCGCTTTGTGTTTTCCGAGCTCCTTCTCGTCAAAGTCCATGTTGTCTTCCAGTAAACCTGTCAAAGCTATCGAGCCAAGGTGTTTCAATTGGCCTTCGTAAAGTTCAACAAGGTCCTCACCGTTTTCTGGTAGGTACTGCTTTGTTTTGTATCTTCTCAGGACACACTCCACTATGTCCATGTA